TTTGGTGGAACCAGGGATTGAACTCAGGCCCTTGTGCTTGCCAGGGAAGCACTTATTCCACTGAGCCATCTTCCCAGCCCTAGAATATCTATTTTTTTAATCTCATTTTAAAAACTCTAAAATTAATTCAACTTAGATAACTTTTGAAAAAGAAAATAAAGGTTATTTTTATTTACCAAATTTTTATATACTATAAGACTAAAAGCAATGTGAACTGTCAGTCATTTACACATATGATGCACTATTTAATGTAGTGTGAATTATAAATCTATGAGAAAAGGAAGGAGTTCTTAAGACAGGAGGACAAATCTTAATTTATATCTCTCAAATGATCAATGATGTTTCACTTTTTTTCATATGTTATTGGGCTGTTTGTATTTATACACCTGAGAAGTACATATTTATCTCAGATGCTCATTTTTTACTGGTCTTTGAATTTAGAGGGCCTGCTTATTTTCAGTTCTTTATGTAATCTAGGTATAAGTCCTTTGTCCAAGGGACAAATGAGTGAATTTTTTTCCCACTCTGTGGGTTGTCTTTTCACTCTGCTGGTGATTTCTTTGCATGTGCCAAAGTTTTTTGATAAGATGAGATCCCAGTTGTTGATTAAATCCTTTGTAATATTTTTTGTGTAGTCTGGGTTTTGTTCATGAACTCTCTATATCTATGTCTTCAAAATTTCTACCTACTTTCTCTTTCAGTAGATGTAATGTTTCTGATTTAATATTTAGATCTTTGGTCCATTTTCATTTTAGTTTAGTTCATGGTGATAGATATGGGTCTAGTTTTTAGTCTCAGACACATGGAAAGCCAGTTTTTCCTGCACCATTCTTTAAAGAGGTTACCTTTCTTCCAATGCATATATTTGGCCACTTTGTCAAAGAGAAAGTGGCTGATTTGTGTTTGGAGCTGTCTGCATCTTTCAATCTGTTCCACTGATCCTCACATCCATTTCTTTGCTAGTACCAATCTGATTTCATCACAGTAGTTTTGCAGTATAATTTCAAGTCAGGGATTGTGATATCCTGTGCCTTCCCTTTGTTGCCCAGAATTGCTTTTGCTGTTCTAGGTTTCTTCTGTTTCCAAACAAATTTTAAGACTCTTTTCTCTAGTTCTGTGAGGTGTGCTTCTGGTGTTTTGATCAGGATTGCATGAAATCTGTGTAACAATTTTGGGAATATAGCCATTTTCATGATGTTGGTTCTTTTTATCCAAGAGTAAGGGGTTTCATTCTATTGTCTAATGTCTTCTTCAGTTTCCTTTTTCAGTTAATTTTTAATGTACACACGTAATTTATAATGTACAGATCTTCTACTTCCTTTGTTAAATTGATTCTTAAGTATTTCAGTTTTGTGGATGCTATTGTGAAAGAAATGGTTTCCCTAATTTCCATCTCTGAGTTTGTTGCTTGAGTATAGGAAAGCTATTGATTTTTGAGGGTTGACTTTATGTCCAGCTATGCTACTGAGTTTCTTTATTAAATCTACAAGTCTTTTGGTGAAGGTTTTGGGGTCTTCTATATAGATTATATCACATCATCTGCACATAATGATAATTTAACTTTTTCTTTCTCTATCCTTATTCCTTTTATACCTTTCTATTGTTTAATTGATCTGGCTAATGTTTCCAGAACTACATTGAATAGGAGCGGTGATAGTGAACATCCTTGTCTTCTTTCTGATTTTAAAGTGAAAGTTTTCAGGTTTTGTTCATTTAGCATGATGTTGGCTGTTGGTTTCTCACAGATGACTTTTATCAGATTGAGGTAAAGATTATATTTCAGTGTTCTGTAGGGTTTTTTAATCAAAAATTAGTGTTAGACTTTGCCAAAAGCTTTTTCTGTGTTCATTGAGATGATCATTCGAATTTTGTATTTGGCTCTGTTAATGTTGTGTATTACATTTATTGATTTGCTTGTATTGAACCATCCCTGCATCTCTAGGATGACTCCTACTCAGTGGCAGTATATAATCTTCTTGATCATTTGCAGTATTCTGTTTGTCAGTTTCTTACTGAGGACTTTGCATCTATGTTCATTTGTGAAATTAGTCTGTAGTTTACTTTTCTGTTTGGGTCCTTCTCTGGTTTAGTTATCAGAGTAATGCTAACTTCCAGGAATGAATTTGGAAGTATTACTTCCCTTTCAATTTCATTAAAGAGTTTCAGCATTAATGGAATTAGTGATTAATAACCAAAGAAATGCAAATTGGAAAAAAGACATGCATCTAGTATCCAGCAAGTTATTATCACTGCATTGAGAGCTCCCACAAATAGTTGTTAAAAGCATAAATTTGATCATTCAACTTCTTGGAAAGTGATTTGGGTACCAAATACCAAATCTTTAATTTTTTTCTGTTTTTGACCCAATAATTTCATGTTTAAAAATCTAAGAGGCCGGGGAGATAGCTCAGTAGAATAAGTACTTGCCTGGCAAGCTCAGGGTCCTGAGTTCAATCCCCAGTACCACAAAAAAAAAAAAAAAAAAAAGAAAGAAAGAAAGAAAGAAAGAAAGAAAGAAAGAAGGAAAAATCCTTTTAAAGAAATAATAGAACAAGCCATATCAACAAGCTTTAAAACTTTCAAGTTTTAGATCTGATGATTTCTTCTGGGAATTAATTATATTACAGACTTGTAAACACTATCAAAACTTAACGTAAAAATGATGTAAAATTTTGCCTACTCTTTAATATTTTATTTTTAGTATTAACAAGTTAGGGGAGAAATTAAATTAAATTGTTTACTTAATTTACATTACAGTATCAAAAGAAAATTATAAAAACAAAATTTTGGAAAGAATATTGAACTATATATTGAAATTTATGTGAAAGCTTACTAGTGCACTAAGTTTTTAAAAGCAGAGCACACTTACTTGTCCAGTATAGTGCTTATATATAGAACAAGAAGGAGATGCTTCAGCCTGTTAGCAGAGGTCTGTTTCTGATGGTGAGACATGAGTTTTTACTTGTACTTTTCTTTTCTTGTACTTTTTATGGCTTTTCCAAATGTGCTACAATATTCATGTGTTGTTTGCATAATCAAAAATATTATTAAAGCATAAAAGAAAGGAAAAATAACTCCATTTATAACAACAAAATTGCTAAGCACCATAAATATAGTAGATCTAAGCAAAACTACAAAGTAAACCAATTGGAAAAAATAAAAACAGGCAGAAAGTGTCAGCACATCTCTTGGGGAAAACAAAGCGCAGTCCTGAATTTTTGAGGAATTAGAATAGATTAGGAGGTGGCTAAAGACCCTGATCCTTATTAACACTGATAGCAGCTGTATATAGCCAAACTTAGTTGTCTGCTGCACAGAAATAAATTCTGATATGTTCTAGCAAACAGAAAAGGACTTTGATGAAAAATCAGTAATTTTTCTATGTAAGGGAATATATTTATTTCTTGACTTATAGAAAGGAGTCATAGACAAGCAATTTATGAGAGTCTGAGCATAATCTTCCCCTTTGAAATGATTACTTTATCTAAACAGCTAACCTTAACTTCTTTTCAGATGTTCAACAGGTATTACTGGAAAAACTGAAGCAATTAACTGCCAGGGAAACAGTTGTGTTATTGGCAAGAGTTGCAAAATCGACAAGTTAACAGGACTATATGAAAAAGGCTGTGTATTCATACCTCACAAGCAACAGACTGTGAAGACTTCCATAATGTTTGCACAAAGTATTGATTCTGTAAGCACTTCATTTTTTAACCCAGACTCTTACCAATTCAGTGAGGCTTTCCCCAAGTGCTCCTGAAAGATGGAATTTCAGAGAAAATCTTAGGACAATTATCTGCTTCAGGAAAAAATCCACAGCTGATTCTTTCTGGGACAAGCTGAGAACACCAAATTGGGATAAAATCACAATAGTCTGTCCTATTCCAGTCTTTCTTATGCACCATTTTTCTTCCACTAGCTTTCAATTTAAGTGTTTAGAATCACTTTAGATACTCTTAACTTCCTGCAAGCATAAAGACTTTTAAAAGGACACATTTACAGGAAGATTAACAGCCAGTTCTCTTCATTAGTTAAGAATGAAAATAATGAACAGTAGTCTTTACTTAAACTTCTAAAGAACTCTTTTCTGCTTGTATATTTGCCTTTGATTGTTAACCAAAACTTGTATCATTTTAAAGATTGTTAATATTTTTAGGGAGTTCTTTCAGTGTTTTAATAGCTCTAAACAGTGTAAAAACACATCTTACTGTTTGGGTTTTGATTTGATTTGGTTTGTTGAGATCAGGTTTTGCTAAACTGACCTTGAACTGGTGATCCTTCTGCATCAGCATCCTGAGTGCTGGGATTACAGGTGCGCGCCACCATGGCAGGCTTACTGTTTTCAATAACCAATTGATCATAAATGAACTTCACAATGAATATCTATGTTAAATATATAGACTACCAATTTTTTATCAGATAAAATGAAATGCATCAGCTAATTGACTTTATTTATTTTATTTTATTTTTGTATTTTAGGAAGAGTCTACAGGGTGTTCAGGTTCTCACTACTAGATCAGACTTATAGTGATCCGCTTATGTTCAGCCTCCCAAGAGCTGGGATTACAGGCGTGCACCACCACACCCAGTCTCAGTCGCTGTCTCAGCGTGCCCTGGGGGGTGGAGCTGGCATGGCAGGCCTGGTGATTGAAGCCCTGGCCCCTGCACCTGCTTGCAGGTGTTTAATCCACTGAGTTACTTGGCTGGCCATAGCTAGTTGACTTTAGCAGAGAGCCCTTCTTATCTTCCAGTATCCTACATAAAATTAGTATTTCACATTGGAATAAGGGGTGAAATAACTTACCAAAGTCTGTCAATAATAGGCTCAGGAAGAGAACTCAGTAAAATGAGCACCTTCCTGGCAAAGGCAGAGTCCTGAGTCCAATCTCCGGTACCACAAAAGAAAAAAAAATTTTAAAAAGCAAAGTCTATCAATAACAAAGTGATGCAATTTTAAAAATCAGATGAACCATAGCCCACCAAGCCCATCTGTCATCTTTGCAGTCCACTCCCAAACCTATTAAGAAACTTCCAGAAGGGACTCAGATAATGTACAGGTAACCCTTTAAATTATGGTGGGGTTTAATATCCCAACAAGTCCATCTGAACTTGAAAATATTGTAAGTTGAAAATTTACTTAATATTCCTAACTTATAGGGCATCACAGCTTAGCAATGCATAGCACCGGAGTGTGGGCTGGTTATCCTGTGGTGCGCTGGGAACTACGGCTCACTGCCAGTCTTCCACCATCATGAGAGGATATCTAATTCAGAAAATGACTAAATGTCAAAGTGTAGTTTTTACTGAACAGACAGCCTGTCCCTTTGTACCACAAAAATTGAAAAATACTAAGTTGTCCCATTGTAAGTCAAGAGCCATCTGTGCTTTAAATTAACTACAGACTCTAATTTGGTATACAGACTTGGGGAATTCTGGTTAAGATTCACACAAATGCTTTTAAGATGTCTTTGTTAAAAATCAGCCATACTAATAACATGGGAAAACTACCAAAACTTATGAGTTGGAAAATGTGAATAAAGAGAAAAATGAGGGTTTTGTAAATAATGATTACTTTTTAAATTATGACTCCCAAATATTTAAGATTTAAATTGAATGTAATACTATACAGTTACTGAGAAGAGGAACTAGGTTACTCTTTCTTTGTATGCTGTGGTCACCTTTTTACTTCCCCAAATGCCAGGAACACAAAACAACATAGAAAGAAAAAGGAACCACTTTTTTATTGGCTGTTAGTATTTTGACCCTATTACACATATTTTTATATCATTCTTGCATAATGAATGTTACCATTCTGTAGATTAGAAGATTGAGGAGTAAAAAGGGGTAAGGTTACCCTAAAAACAGCAAACTTAACATTGAGCTTGTATTATGTAACAGTAGACACAGGACCAAATTTTGAGACAGGAAAACTTAATGAGAAGTTTCTAAGTGCTGGCTAAATAGCTCAGCAGATCAAAGCACCTACAAGCAGGTGCAGGGACCAGGGGTTCGATCCCTGGGCCTGCTAGAGCAAGCCCCACCCCCGGGTGTGCTGAGATGGCAATTGAGATTGAGCGTGGTGGCACACACCTGTAATCCTAGCTCTTGGGAGGCTGTAAACAGGTGGATCACTATGAGTCTAATCTAATAGTAAGACCCTGAACATCCTATAGACCCTTTCCTAAAATAAAAAAAAATTTTAAAAAAAAGCTTCTTTCGTGGATGGTTTTATAGCCCAAAGCAGTACCACAGTGTTAAAAAGACCTTATTAAAGTTTCTACATTGTGCTATAAGACCACAGAGAGTGGATTAGAAATTTTCAGAGAAGGGCAGAGCTGACCAGCTCCATAGCTCTACATACTCATAAAGGATCTCATCACCTTTCTCCAAACTGCTTTCTCTGCATGTATCACCTACCTAATGTCACTACTAAGCTTCCAGCTGCCCATATCTGGAAACTGGGAATTTCCTTGCCTTCCTCCCTGATTAAAAAATATCAAAATTAATACATTTCACCAGTGGGACATCCAAGTGGGTTACAGAGAGAGCTGGAATGGTGGATGCTGAGAGGTGGAAAGAGGTCTATTGGTCAGAGAGTGGGATGTAAGGAAGTGAAGTTTACTCATGCAGGGAAGGAGGGAGAAGTTGGTACCAGGAGAGGATTGCTGAAAAGGGTGGTGGGAAGGGAGTCGTGCTGACTTTGAGCTGCAAGTCTAAGGATTCGACAGGAAGCCACCTACAGCAAGTCAGTGGATTTCTGGGAAGCACTAAGGGTACAATGAGGTTGAAGACCTGGTGTGAGGTGGGATCTCCAAATGATGGCTAGGATGTTCCCCCAGAATCCTCAGTCATTGTGGTGTTGAGCCCCAGTGATAGGATAGGAGGCAACCTGGGTAAGAGGTGGGAATTTAAACTAGGAGATATTTTAATAAGTAGTTAACTGTTAACCATATCATTTTATTGATGATTTCAGGTGGTTGGGTTTTGTACCAAAAAAAACCACAATAAAGAAGCCCCAAACATGCAAAACCAAAAATGCAATCTCCGGAGCACATGGGAAGTGATCAGCGAATCTGAGGACTTTAAGAAGACCACTCCTATGACAACAAAGCCACCCAACCCCACCTTCTCATTGCTGCAGATTGGACAGCGAGTCGTGTGTTTGGTTCTTGATAAATCTGGAAGCATGGCGGTATGTTCGCTGGGCCCTGGTCTTCCCCATACCCCTCATAAATGTGTAGGTTATGATGCTGACCACAACTTTGAACTAGCTGGGAATAAATACAACCCCGGAATTAGGACAACTACAGTAACACTGCCATCAGAAATGCCCATTTTGCTTCATACCTCAGAGATTTGGCATCAATTGTTTCATTCTCCAAATTAAATTAGCTTTAATTTGTGAGCACAGATCTGATAAATTTCTTTTTTTGTTTTTGTTCTTTTTTTGTTTTTGTTTTGTATTTTAGGGAAGGGTCTACAGGGTGTTCAGGGTCTCACTACTAAATCAGACTCATAGTGATCCACCTGTTTACAGCCTCCCAAGAGCTGGGATTATAGGCATGTACCACCATGCTTGGTTTCAATTGCCATCTCAGGGTGCCCCGGGTGTGGGGCTGGCACAACAGGCCCAGGGATTGAACTCCCAGCCCCTGCACCTGCTTGCAGGTGCTTTAATCCCCTGAGCTATTAGGCCAGCCCTTGATAAAATTCATTTTTTAATTTATCTATTATGTATTTAGGACAGGGTTTACATGATCTCACTACACAGATTGGACTTGTAGTGATTCTCCTGTTATAAGCCTCCCAAGTGCTGGGATTACAGGTGCACCATCAAGCCCAGTCTCAATTGTTGTCTCAGCCCCCCCACCCCTGCCCCCGGGGTAGGGCCAGCACGGCCCACTAGGAATAGAAACCCAGTCCCTGCATCTGCCTAAGCAGGCACTTTAGTCTGCTGAGCTATCTGGCCTGCCAAACTTCATTTATTTTAATGTTTCACTGACATTATATAGATCTACAGGTCTATAATTCCACATAGGACTTAACTAAAACTATCACTAAGACATTGTACTTTAATGATTGTGTTATCTAGCTTTATATTTTGCTATTTATGCCAACCTTCTAATATGTATGTCAAGATGCTGCTAAATATAAATGGAGAATTCTCCCATGAGATATGCCTCAAGCAAGTTGCTTGTCATTTCCTCTACCTCCATGCAACCACTTCAGAATACCCTCTGGCCTGTTCAATAATTAGTCTGTTCATTTAAAGCCAACCTGACTGCCTTCCTTTTGCTTGCCCATCCAGGGTGGTGACCGCCTTAACCGCATGAATCAGGCAGGCAAGCTCTTCCTGCTGCAGACCGTGGAGGACGGGTCCTGGGTTGGGCTGGTGACATTTGACAGCCGTGCCCAAGTGCAAAGTCAACTCATACAGATAAAGAGCAGCACCAACAGAAATACACTGGCCAAAGGATTACCCACAACAGCTTCCGGCGGGACATTCATCTGCTCTGGCCTTCGATCAGCATTTACTGTGAGATGCCTTCTGCTATTGTGGTTTGCCACTGTTTGCACTTTTTCCCCTAAGAAGTGTTTCCTGTGTTTCCATATATGCCTGGTATCTAATTGGAACAGACAACCAAAAGCAAGGCAATGCTTCAAATGATGCAAAGACATAGATCCCCCCCAACACTGTTATTAACTAATTCATGTTTTTGTGCTTTTCTACATCTGGATAGCTGTGCTTTTTATGCACATATACTTGCACTCACAGTATTTCTGGTGGCCTGCTACATGCTAGGCATTGTGCTAGGCAGTGAAGGGTGCTGTGAAAGCCTGGGTGGGATTCATTAGATTAGTAACACACGTGTTTACTCATGTACTGTAATGAGTGCAGTGAAGGAAAGGTACACAAGGTCCTAAGGGGATCTTCTATGGAAAATATCTCTAAATATTGTGAAACTCTAAGGCAGCTGGACACTCCAAAGGTCATCTTGTTGGAGAAGAAAATGGCTTGTCGAAGCAGCAGGCCCTAAGAACTGTAAACTATATTAGGGTCATTTCTAAAGATCTCACTTGAGGACAGTCAGTTACATCACCCCTTGGCTAGACATCAGTGTCTCTCCATTTTCAAGAAGATTTGGTATAAATTCTTCTAATATTTAAGATTTTTCTTTATAAATGTACTGCCCCTCTTTCTGGGCTTAAGCACCAAGGCCTCCCCCAGGTATCCTGCGTGTAAGTGAATCAATCCCTGTCCTTCAGAGTGCCCACACCTTTGGCGGGCTAGCTCCTCACCTCGAATAGGTTGGTCTCCTTTCTTGGCATCACAGATCATGATATCATATACTTCCTGGCATCTTTCCTGATCCTTTCAACTGTACAGGACTATCTCTTTCTGAATCCTATGACTTCTTTTATTTAAAAACATCTGTTAAGACTTCTGGGCTCTTCTGTCTTATTATCTAATTATGTATTTCAACTAAGAAAAACTTCCTTAGAGATAGGACTTAATCTTTTTATCTCCCAATCCACTGACATGCTGTAATTTATACAGGAAGCTCTTCGTAAATAAAATTTCACTGAGTTATTGGATACACTAATAACAACCAATGTTAAATTGCTCCAGACAATCTATATTTATGGAAGGGCTATTTAGCCACAGGAAATAACAGCAGGCTGACTGAGTTAGGCTGGTCTAATGCTTCAGAACCTCACAACACCTTGGGCATGTCTGTCCTCTGCCTGCTCTCTGGGCATAGGACACATATTGATGGGCTATGGGACTGTTGCAGCTCCCAAAGCGGCAGCAAGACTGTATTTTCCAGCTTTCAATAGTTAGATGTAGATACTAGACATGACCCTTGCCTCAGTGATGTCTGTCTTTTTGGTCCTTTTACTCTATCTTGAAGAGTAGTTCTCTGAAAGTACTTTGGATTATATACGTAGCATCAGTGCCCTCCTCCAACCGGGATAATGGGTCCTATACACACCTGTGTTCTGCTGCCTCGACCACCACCACCCAAGCTTTGACTAAAGAAATGATGGAGGGAAGAAACCTGACAATGGACTGCTGATGCACAGTAGAACTCCTACCATACAGAGCCCAGATGTGTGTGGTGAGCAGAGAATTTATGGTTCTGTATTTTCCATTCAGATAGGTGAGAGAGAGTATGAGGGATGCAACTGGAATTTACAATACTCCTCCTCCTCCTCCTCCTGGGGAAGGCTGCATGTGGGCTTCAGGAGATGGTATGAATTCTCCTGAGGAGGTAAAGTGTCTTGGAGCCTGCACTGTCCTCCAGATCCCTGCTGGTCCCAGCTGCAGACCCTTGTTGGGTCTATCCTAGCCTCCTGCAATGGTGCCTGGAGGGATAGTAAGAGGACCTGTTTACTCTCCAGGTGTGACCAGGGTCTAGTGGTCTTCCATGGCTGCCTCCCCTACCATAGTAGCCTGGACAGCTTGAGTCTTCTGCATTGTCCCAGCCAGGCTGTATAGGCCTTGGCAGGATCACTTTCTGTCACCTGCTGTCTCAACACAGCCTCCCTGTGGTGGATGTGGGAACATCTTCTTATTTTCCCTGCCACACAGGGCCATGAGACGAGGGAGTCCAAACTGGCCGTTTCTTCTCTAGGCCCTCAGGCCCTGAGTTTGGTCAGCCCAAGACACAGCTGCAGCTGGTCCACTTTTGAACCTTGTCTCATGTCCAAGGTCACAGTCCCAGTTCTGCTGTCTCCCTGTGTCATCACAGTTGCCTCGTGTGATGGCCTCTTCTTGGAGCTCAAATTGGGAGGGAAACAAAAGGTTCCTGTCCTCTGCCTTCCCTTCAACCTTTTGAAAGTCTCATCCAGAGAGGGATTTTAGCACTTAGGCTTGATCGTTTTCCTTGTTTCTAGATCTTTCCTTCATTCATTTAATGGACTTCTGTCTTCCCCTTCTTAAATCACATATTCTTTTATCTAACTTTCCTTCTTCTTCAATATTGGCAGAAGGAGCATCCTCTCTATCATAAATATATGTATATGTTTATAAAATCCAAGTCTACCAAAGGTAGTTGTGACGTAACAGTCATAGGACAACTAGGCATTGGGGATTAATAAGAACAAAATTCTTTGCTTTGATTAGGAGACTATGAAAATTTTTAACTACTCCTACAACCTAGGAATAACCAGTCAAAACAAATTCTAGCCATAAGTAGCTGGTTATTTTGAGATTGGTGACTATCATACAAGTTAAAATCTTCCTGGGTACAATATCCTGAAATAACCCCTAGCATGAGGACATTTTCTGAAGCCATCCTGGAACCTCTGGAAGGCCACCAAGGAGAGATCTGGCAAAGAAAACAAGAAAGTGCTTTACTGCTTCTTCAGAGCTGGCCATCCATAGACTTGCCCAGAGCCGAGAGCATCCCTCTCAGAGAAAGACAGTGGCCTACTTCCATGAAGCCAGGCATGGTGGTTCCCCACCGTAAGCCTAGAACTCTGCAAGGCTGAGGCAGGAGTATCACAAGTTTGAGCTCAGCCTGGGAAGCTTAGTGACTTGTCTCACAATAAAATATTAGGGGAGACTAGGTTCAGTTGAGAGAGAGAGAGAGAGAGAGAGAGAGAGAGAGAGAGAGAGAGAGAAACAGAGACAGAGACAGAGAGACAGAGACTCATGATGTTGATGTTGTAAAATCATATCACATGATGAATATGATCATTACATATATCAAGGATGTACCAATTAATTTAATTTCAAAAAGGAAAAAAAACACACACCCCAAGCAAGCACTCCCACATAGTAACATGGCTCCAAACACACCCACATAGTTCTATTTATTCCTCCTGGAATTGCTCTCCTTGTCCTTTGTAGACAGTTTTTACTCAGCCTAGTGACTCGTACTCTGAATTGTGTCCTTAGGTGATTAGGAGTAAATTCCCGACAGATGGCTCTGAGATTGTGTTGCTGACGGATGGGGAGGACAACTCCATCAGCGCGTGCTTTAATGAGGTGAAGCAAAGTGGAGCCATAATCCACACAGTCGCCCTGGGGCCCTCGGCGGCTGCAGAGCTGGAGCAGCTGTCTCATATGACAGGTGAGGGCTCATTGGTCACCTGAGACCCACGGCATTGTCGCTCCCATTGGACTGAGAACTCCATGAACTGGAGAGGAGCAGGAGCTGGGGTGCAGAGAGACAGAAGTGACCTTCTTGACCAACTGGTTGCTTTTCCCCATTGGCCATGAGAATGAACTCCACTCACTTATTTTAAGACCCTAGTGGGCTGGTGAGATGGCTCAGTGGTCTAAAGCACCTACTTAGAACAAGCTTAGCAAAGCAAAGGGACCGCGGTTCAATTCCCAGCACCACATGCCAGCCAGCCCCACCCCCTGGTGGGCTGAGCTGGCCACACACACACATACACACACACACACACACACACACACACATAAATAAATAAATAAATAAAAGAAATTATTAAAAAAAGAAAATAAAATACATTATAAAAAAAAAAGACCTTAGTCTAGGACTAGAGCAGTCTGGAGAAGACAGGTCAGGTGTGGTTCCTTATGAGGACTCAGGGCTGCTTTCTTTCCAGGGATTTAGAGCTAAGAGGACTCTAGTAGGTGAATCAAGGACCACTTACTTTCATTTGACAGTGATTGAGAGACCCAAGGGAGGCAGGTGACAAGCCACTGACTACAAACTACCATGATACAAGTGTTACATTAGCAATAGAAAGTACTATAAGGCACAGATAAGAGAGAATCTGACTTTTCCTGAGAAGAAAGCCCTGGGAAGGAGAGCAAGCCACTGCACAGAAGGGCGAAGAGCCTGACGGACAAATCAGAAGTTGCACCACACTGCAGCATGTAATGTAGTTTCTCTATAAAACATTAATGTACCATGCGTCTAATTCCCATAAAGGCATGGGTTACGTAGATCCCACTGTCCCTACCTACTTTAGCAGAGTAGTGAGCACAATCTTTTTCTTTTTTACTTAGGTAGGGATAGTATGAAGGATATAGATTATTATACTGAGTTGGCTTCTGGGGAAATTTGGATGGCCTTAAAATAGTTTAAATATTACTTCACATTAACTGAGTTAGTTATATCCATTCTAAATAGTCCAAGCTTGGTGTATAATCTTGTTTTAACTGTGTATTCTACTTTCTATAGCTGTTCTTTTGTGTGCTGTTATTTCTTGCTGTGGTCATCTACATGTCAAAATTGAGTTAGAAGAAAACTCTAGAGCTAAGTGTGACAGAATTATATCCCAAGCGTAAGCCAAACGTCAACCAATGACTGATGGAGCAGCAGTACAGAAGGTGGCCTTCTTGAGACCACCTTGGTCCCACCGTGGTACAGTTCCTGATGCAGGGACTAGTCTTCTGCTAGACTCTAAATTTAGCTTTTTCCCATGATCTTTTCCTCCCTTCACCCTCCTCCTGCCTTTTTTTTTTTTTTTTGAGAACCTCCTTTCCCTAATCACACATGCCCAAGTACCTGAGAGAGGTTTAATGAATTATCTCATGTCCAAATGCACAACTTTTAAAATGTAGATTTTATAATATCAATTTTAGTTTCTCAGAGAGTCACAATAGATATGCAGATAGTTGAGGTAGCCAAGTGATAGAAACATTGTTAAAGTTTTATTTACTAGGATTAAAAATTTAGTATCAACTTTTGAGTTTATTTGTGCATACATTTGACATTGATCTATTTTCACTTTAATAATGAAATGTTTATTTTATGTATTCTGCCATTTTAACAGCAAATAAAGTGTCACACACACTTGCTTTCTGGACAATAACCTCTGGTGATATAATTGCATTTTAGGAGGTTTACAGACCTATGCTTCTGATCAAGCTCAAAACAATGGCCTCATTGATGCTTTTGGGGCCCTTTCCTCAGGAAATGGGGTCGTCTCTCAGCGCTCCATCCAGGTAATTCTTCCTCCTTGCTTTTATTTATTTGTGTGTGTGTGTGTGTGTGTGTGTGTGTGTGTGTGCGCGCGTGTACTCAATCATGATCAAGGTATAAAATTTAATGTTTAAAAGTTTCAAGTTCTATATGCCACTAGTATTGCATGAAAATAAAAATAAAAGATTAAAAGATTCAGTCTGATATTAGACATTATTCCTAAAATGCAACATTACTCATATAAATGAAGCAATTAATGTTTACGTGTTTAGACACAATGCTAAGAGAACTCCTCCAGAAATCAGCAACATAAAATATAACAGGTCCAAGAATTCCTAACATCTGCTGACAAGCACCCATAACAATATAATTGGCTCGGAATTTTCTTCAGAGTAGATCATCTCAATTATGAATTTTCTGGGGTATGTGTTTAGGGATTACTTGCTCTAGTTTCCATTACCTCAAGTCTCTAATATCTGCCAAGCCTGTCACATAATACAGGGGAAGCACTCTGCACTATGGAAAAGCCCATGCTGTCCCCTCAGATGGCTGGACTTCAGTCTTTGGTCTGTCATTAACTCTGACCATATGAACCAGAAAACACCAATGACCCCATGTGGTTTCAAAATTTCCAGGAAACCAAATGATATTTCAAAATTCTTGGGACTATTTTTAAGAGGATAAATGTATTCTAAAATGCCATTTTGTAATAGTTGTGAATATAACTCATAAGAATTTTTAAACTAGACAGAGTAAACAATCAGTGATGACATTAGTGTAAATTATAAGTTTTGTTATAAAAGTTTGGGTAAAGTAAAAGAATACAAGAAGGTTCAAGCCTAAACATCACATTTCAAAACCATAGGTTTTTGAGTCTACTTACTGGAGACCACCAGTCTCCTCCTTAGGGGTATAAGGACTGAATAAAACACAGACAAGATATATATTTTAGTTGTAAGGGGCACTAGGATGGTCAAAGCCCAATGAGCACTATGGTCTTGAGTCATATGTCCCCTGGCCTATATTATGTGCCCAGCTTGACTGGGCAGGGAGGTGCTTGTGGGCTGCAAGAAATGATGGGGTGAACTGCTAACATGGTCAAAGTTCAAGGACTGGGGAACAGTGCATTTCTGGAAGAGCACACAGGAGCAGATCGTGGGTAACTGTAACCTGGCTCTCTGCTGAATGTTTGTTTCTTCTACCTCAGAAACCCATCTCTTAGGAAACCAAGGTACTGGGAGTGAGAGCACAGCTTTCAGACCTCATTTTCTCTGGCTGGGGATCTTCTCAATTATGGACAAGCTCAGTAGCTGGTCTTTAGCTGCCATGTTATCTTGCTTTGAGGCAGCAGAATTTCACAGGCTGTTTGTCAGCCTCAGCTCTAGCTGTTGGCTTAAAGTCTGCCTTTAAGCAAGCTGAGGGTCTCGCCACAAGTTATATAGGCCTAGGACAGGCTCTCAATTTATTTTAGTGCCAATTTAATTAACATTAATTACTGTCTGCTCTGTACTACATCAAACTGGTCCTTAGTATCTAGTGGTGTAGCACTGATTCAATCTAAGGAAGATAGTGACCATACCTGTCTGGGTTAGCCTACGTCAGATTTAGAAAATTAAACTCAAAGAGTCTGGTTTGGAAATGAAAGGAATATGTGGTAAGAAAGTAATTAAACTGATGAAATGACAGACTCACTGGCAGTTTCTAGGAATTTTTTATATAAAGAAACCTCAGAGGGAACAAGGTGGGGAAATGATCAGGATTCACCAACTTGCCATGAGAACAAGACCTAAGAGGGCTTCATTTCCAGATCATTTATAATCTACCTGTAAAACTAGAACCCCTGGCTCCATGCCCAGGCCACCCTGTCTTCACATAGGTATCACTTTAAGGACAGTCAACATCAGGGAAATAATCTTCAAAATCACATTTTCTGCAGAATTCTGATTAATCTTTCTCCACTTCAATCCCTGATCTGCAGCTCTACTCTAAAAAACAAATCCACCTTGGCCATCAACATATTTCACAGGCCTTTATAGGGATGTTGGAGATGCTCAGCCTAGCAATTAGTGATATATAATTCAAATAATCTATGTGTGGACAAATAATAAGTCATAGGCAATCCTTATAGGGTTTATAGCTTAGTATATGTGATGAGCTGTGCACCTTCATAACTCTAAGATAAGTGTAGTATGATGAACATTGGGTAAAGGTAAAAGAATACAGGAATGTTCAAGTCAAAATGCCATATTTCAAAACCATAGGCTTTGGGGTCTACTTTTTAGGGCCCTGGCCCAGGACCACTGATTTCTATCTGTGGACTTATATAAATAAAATTCTAAGGGAGTTCGCTGGAAGAAGAGCTGTTGTTTGAGTAATAAATGAGGTGAACATCAAAGAAAGTTTCATGGAGAAAGTGACTGGGGGAGAGGCAGTTACTGGGGATTGAACCCAGGTCTTAGCACTAGGGTATGTCTCCAATCCCTTTTCATGTCTCTTGATATACGGTCTTGTTAAATCACTAAATTGCCCAGGCTTAGCTTAAATTAACAATCCTCCTGCTTCAGCTTCCCAGAGTACTCAGATTACAGGTTTAGGCCAGTGTGCCCAGCTGAGAAAGTGAGAGTTGAACTCAATTTTTAAGAAAGAGTAAAATTTAGACAAGTGGAAAGAAATTTAAAGACTTCTAGGAAAACTAAGAGTGCAAGAAAGTTATAGATTTGTAAAAAGTTAAGAATTTATTGAACTTAAGACTTTATTAAAGTTAGGGATCCATTAGGATCCTTTGAGAAAGTGGTCTTATGTCAGCAGAAAATTGTGGAAACTAAGGCTAGAAAGGTAATTTCAAACTGGACAACAATGGTTATAAGCACCAAATCAAGGACTCAGCATCACTGGTGACTTCATAAGGGGCACTTGGGAGTGGGAGGAGTTAAAAAGATCATTCAGTGTGAGCTCTGAGGTAGAGTTGTTTTCTCAACAGCTGGAGAGTAAGGGATCCACCCTCAAGAATCTTCAGTGGATGAATGGCACAGTGACTGTGGACAGCACAGTAGGAAAAGACACTTTGTTTCTTATCACCTGGACAACACAGCAGCCCCAAATTTTTCTCTGGGACCCCAGTGGAACAAGACAGACTGGCTTTGTAATAGACACAGCCACCAAAATGGCCTACCTCCATGTCCCAGATATCGCCAAGGTATGGAGTGGGGTTTTCTTTTCCTTCTTATCATCTGACAAGATAAAACAAAGTTTTAACAAAATAATTGTGGTGTTGAAAATGTTGGTTGATGCTAAGAGGAGAGTAAGTATTGAATCAAGAAGAAAATGATGGAGAAATCTCCATCCAGTGGAAAATCACCATTTGCCAGCACATCAAGAAAGGAAATCGGTGATGCTTTGTTCAGATACTAAAAGGAAAACCTTCAAAGTACATAGCATTGAAGATGCAAAACAATCTTTGAAATTTTGACAATACAAAAAGTGTTTCTTCTACCTCAGAAACCCATCTCTTAGGAAACCAAGGCACTGGAATGAGAGCACAGCTTTCAGACCTCATCTCCTCTGGCTGGGACCTTCTCAGCTGTGGAAATGATGTAGTCTGTGCAAATGTTCTGACAGTGGCCTTGACACTTGTGTCAGATAGCCTTTTCCAAATGGTGATGCTGAAGGCAAGCCTTTCCATGCAGTTATTTATTGGAAATGTCTGCATCTATTTTGGTCAGGTTGGATCTTGGAAATACAGTCTTCAAGCAAGCTCACAAACCATCACTCTGACTGTCACCTCTCGTGCCTCAAGTACCACCCTGCCTCCAATTACAGCGACTGCCAGAATGAACAAGGACACAGGCAAATTCCCCAGTCCTATGGTAATTTATGCAAATATTCGCCAGGGAACTTCACCGATTCTCAGGGCCAAAGTCACAGCTGTGATTGAATCAGCAAGTGGAAAAACAGACACCTTGGAATTACTGGATAATGGAGCAGGTAACCATCCAAGAAATTGGAAAGCATATTTTTGCTTTTCCAAGAAGCAATCAGAGAATGGCAGGAGGGTGTGAGTCTGGTGAGGGAACCCAGCCCGGGAGGGCTGGCTGAAAGAATCCACTGTGTCCCCATCATTTCTGTATTCCAAAATGTTGGAAAACATAATGAACAAGGGCTTGCCTTAGCTTTTGCAAAACCAAAATGCATTAGGGTCTTGAGCGCAATAGACTCAGAGACTCTAGGCAGTTTTCAGATCTCCAAACCAAAAGAAGATAAATTAATAGTTCATTTTGTTTTAGATATTCCCCCTCTTCCTCTTTTCTTTCTTTCTTTCTTTCTTTCTTTCTTTCTTTCTTTCTTTCTTTCTTTCTTTCTTTCTCTCTCTCTCTCTCTCTCTCTCTCTCTCTCTCTCTCTCTCTTTCCCTCTCTCTATACACATACAAACCCACATGATGCACAAATGTGTGTATCTGTATACATAAGCATATATAGAGATACATAGATATACATCTTCAGGGGCCAGGGAGATGGCTCAGTGGAATAAGTGCTTGGCTGGCAAGTGCAGGGGCTAGAGTTCAGTCCCTGATCTGCAAAACAAACAAACAAACAAACAAAAAGTTATACATCTTCATTTTTATGTTCACCATTCTTTTTTTACACATTACTATCCTTATATTACAGTGAATAAATGGAGGCTTTCTTACTTGAAAAACATCCTAGCATATGTATCATGATTCCTGTGTCTATGCAGAGTTTATATTAGCTTGCTCTCAAAGTCAAATTGCTGCCCATTATTTTTGTGTTCAAGAAAATTATCAGAGAGAGAAAGAAAAAGAATTCCACATTTTTTTTCAGAAGGGAAAATGTCTGCTGCTTACTGGGATACAAATATCCATATTAGAATAAATTTCCTAGAGCTGGGGGATAGCTCAGCAGTCTAAGCACCTACCTAGTAAGCACAAGGACCTGGGTTCAATTCCTGATACAACATGCCACACTTGCCCTGGAATCCCATACTTGCCATCCTGGCCATCCAAACTGGGTATAGTGGCACATGCCTATAATCCCAGAACTGGAGAGGCTGAGACAGGAGGATTACTATGAGTCCAAGCTATGTAACAAGGCCTTGTACTAAATAAATAAAATATTGGGGCTGGTGAGATGGCTCAGTGGTCTAAAGCACCTACTTAGAACAAGCTAAGCTAGGCTAAGCAAAAGCACATCGACCACGGTTCAATCCCCAGCACCACATGCCAGCCAGCCCCGCCCCCTGGTGGGTTGAGCTGGCCACACACACACACACACACACACACAAAATAAATAAATAAATAAATAAATAAAATAAATAAAATATTGAAAAAAAAGAATGAATTTCCTAGTTAAATCTACCTTGAGGAGGTCAGAGATTTTTATTAAATAGTTATATAATGTTTGTCCTTCCCAATAACATACAGTAATTCAATTCTGGTTGAATACATACTTACTAAATAGTTTCCTTGCACTATGTTGGGTGTAGCGGAGACACACAAAATGTCTCTAATTTCAAAAAGAATGACTAATATGGGGAAAGAAGATAGATGCATAGAAAGAGACACACACACACACACACGCGCACGCGCGCGTGCGCACACACACGCAGTGGAAAAGTAAGGAGCAGGCTTTAGCAAAATCGAATCTTAAGGTCTTCTGAAGGTAGTGCTGAATCTCTTCGCTTTGAGAAATGCTAACCTACGGCTGGGGAGATGGCTCAGTGGAATAAGTGCTTCCCTGTCAAGGGCAAGGGTCTGAGTTCAATCCCCAGTTCCACCAAAAAAAAAAAAAAAAAAAAAAAAAAAGAGAGAGAAATGCTAACCTATATATGAAATGAAAATGTAGGAATGCCCAGATACCTTGAGAACATTCATTATTTCCTCCACTTCCCTGTCCAGGTGCTGATGCTACTAAGAACGATGGTGTCTACTCGAGGTATTTTACAGCTTATGATACAAATGGACGATACAGTGTGAAACTATGGGCCCTGGGAGGAATTAATACAGCAGGACAGAGAGCAGTGTCCCAGCCAAACGGTGCCATGTACATGCCTGGCTGGATTGAGAATGGTAAGTAACCCGGCTTGAGTAAAAGGCTTAGAAAGAGTAGCAAACCACTAAAGCTCTGAGGCAGAATGATTCAGGATGAGTCGATGGTTTCTCAGCCTTGACACTATTGCCGTTTAGGGCCTCACTACGTTTTGCTGTGGGACTCTGTGCTGTGGACTATAGGCTGCTTAGCAACACCCCTGGCCTCCTCTCACCAAGGGATCAGTAACAGCCCTAAGTCATGGCAATGAAAAAGTCCCAGACAGCATCTGTTGTCCTCTCAGGAGACAAACTCATTGAAAACTACTTCATAAAATGTAAGTTTTGACTATGTTGGTCCAAATCCTAGCCATCTACCAAATAAAAGTGCTAAAATTTTTTGTGCTTCACTTTTCTCTGTGCTAGAGGCAATAATGATAATTGCCTCATTTGATAGGAATAAATAGGGAAATAGACCTAGTACATTGCTGCTGAAATTATTGATTAATAAGCATTTTTGTTATTTTTAAACATTAAAATATTTTGTAATGAAGCTCATCTCACTGATATTAATATTTCCATAAAATGAAAATGTAAGTTAGAGATTATTATCTGCATCGGTATTACCATAAGCTCACTCCCTTTCCTCCCTTCTTCAGGCTCTGACCAAGGAGGACAGTAGATTAATCTGATGCTGGCCAGCACCTTGAGCCCACATGTAGCCCGATGGGAAAGTGATGTCTATGAACTAACTAGGTCATGTCATACTAGTCTTGCTACAAGAACCTGCCCTGGACAAGCGCAGGAATTGGGACACAGACTAAGCCTAATGGATTCTGGGACTTGCTTTCCATCCATCTACCCTGTGTCTTGGGCAGGCCTCTTCTTGTCACTCAAGTAGAGAAAGAAGGGCTTATCCTTTTTTCTTGGATGAAAGAGGATTCTGGGCCTAAATGGTGTCCTCTCAACAAAGATGATAGGAAAATCATGCTTGAAAAGACACCTATCTTAGTTACTTTCTGTGGCTGGGACAGGATATCTGACAACTACAAGTTCAAAGAGCAAAGGTTTATTTTAGCTCACAGTTTGTAGAGTTTTCAGTCATAGTCCACTGGCTCCAAGGCAGGCTGGCACGGCAGAAGGGCATGGCAGAGAAGCAGAATGCGGCAAGAAAGGCAGCAGGCAGCGGCTTTCTTTCCTCTTTCCCTTTTTATTCCATCCACACTACAAGCCTACTGGTTGGTGTGCCAAACGTCAGGGTGAGTCTATTCTCTTCAGAAAATCCATTTCCCACACCTGGAACTGTGCTAAATCAATCGGTGGACAAATCCAGTAACACACCCATAATCCAGTGCCCCACCTACAAGTACATAAAGCTTGAGGGAACATCTAGATGCAAGCTACAACACCATGCCCCATAAGAACTTTTTATATACTTCAGCTTATTTTATGTTTTTTTTTTTTCATGAATTGGGGGAAAATGTGGGAGAGGAGAAGTTTAGTGACTAAGTTTAGCATTAGTAACTAAGTTTATCTTCTCTTAGAGGAGAGGCTTAGCAACTAGTTTAGCCTTTAGCCTTAATTTACTAATTACATGAATATAATTCATTCTCCTAAATACCCCTTTCACAGACAGAGATGCAGAGGCTAGAGAGGTTATTAGTCCATTCATAACAGTAATAACATCTTGTGTGGTACTGAGGGGCCATCTTCTTCCCCCTGTTCCTTAACAAGCCTTACTATGAAGGGCAAGTCTCTGTTGATAATCAAATATGTCAATCTATCAAAGCATTATCTTCATCTTTGTTAAAGGTATAGTTAATAAATATGAAGATAAATCTGTCTCTATAGAAAAAATGTGAGAGCTAAAGCAGTAGAGTTTATGAGAAAGCAAGTTCTGAGTAATGCCATTTTAGATTATAGTAATATTTTCATTAAAAATATAGTCTGAGTATCCTACTGATTGAGGAGGCCAGAGTGTTTGTTGGAATCCAAAGATTACTTTTATACAGCAAGAAAAGCGTGAAGGAAATTGGGATTGCTACAAGAACAAAGTTCCCATGAATCCATTAAGCAAATGCAAGTCTTTCAGAAGTATAAAACTTTGGAACTCTTAACATAGAACATTTAATGAGAAATTGGAATCAAAAAAGAAGGATAAAACACCAACATAGAGAAAGTGAAGGAAAATGCTTAGAATAAATAATTAAGGGAAATCTGTAAGACCTAGATGGTTCAATATTAAATAAATGGGAAAGATCATGAAATTCACAGTATGTTTATCTGGATAAAAGATTTCTTAAGGGAATCTGAGATTTAAAATAGAGGCAATAGATCAGGATAGGCAGAATATGAAAAGATTATTCCAAGGCAAATGTTATGAAAGCAAATTGAATAGAGCTATTCACTAAATCTCCTGAAAACATCTGTGAGATAAAAAAAAAAAAAAATGTCATTCTCTTTTTTTCTCTCCAATGCAACCTGATTTGTAGTCCTTACATGATTTGCTGAAGCACACACAGACTAAGGCCTTGTCGTCAGACATTTAATATGAATTTCATGTGTGGGAGAAAAGATTCAGAAAAGGGTTGTTCAATAAAAATCAAAGAAAGATGTGTATATTTAGAGGTCTTGCTTAATATATTTTGAATAATCTTTTAATACAGGTGAAATAAAATTGAACCCACCAAGATCGGAGAGGAATAGAAGTAATGTTCAACAGAAACAAGTGTGTTTCAGCAGAGCCGTCTCAGGAGGTTCGTTTGTGGCCTCCGGCGTCCCCAAAGCTCCGGTCCCTGACCTCTTCCCACCTTGTCAGATCACCGACCTGCGGGCCCGGCTCCACGGGTACAGCGTCATCAACCTGACCTGGACAGCTCCTGGCGATGATTACGACTATGGACATGGTAAGCTGAGCACAGCAGCACGGCCCGGGCAGGAAGCCTAGCAGCCGAGCAGCGGTGGAGAGGGGAGTGAGGAAGGAAGGCGTGTGGGGATGAGTACAAGGTGGGAGGTTCTTCAGCAGTCTCTGAAATAGCACGTAAAGAGCTTTAAAAGAGAGGTTTTGAATCAGGAAAGCTGGCCTCGTTGAGGAACCCGATTTAAAAGAACAGAGGTTTAATTTGGCTCATAGTTTCAAAACTTTCAGTCCACGGCTGGAAGGCTCCAGGGCAGAGTCCACCTGGTGGGAGGGTCTGCCTCAAAGGAAAGCTGCTCCTGTTGGGTGGCCGAGCAGTGTAGGGAGCAGAGACAAGCCAGGGAGAGAGACCCTTCACGTTCTTCTGAGGTGGTCACACTTCTCAGGAGCACGTTGGACTCCATTCCTAACAGCATCTGCCTGACCCCACCACTTTCCCAACACACAAAGATTTGGGAGCATCTTAGATCTAAGCCACAACAGGGAGTAAGAGGTGTCAGCCAGGAAACTGGAATTTTTTCAACTCTTGCCAAAATATCTGGAAAACCCCATTTTTCAGTAGGGATTTCTGGATAAGGCCTAGGAATAGAGTAGGATAGTTATAAAGAAAAAATGTCCTTTGGAAGAAGTTTCAGATCCTGCCAGCCTTTGCTCTGAAAATGGGATCTATGTACAGCAGTATAGGTAACACTGGGATGCTTGCTAGAAACATGGACCCTCCAGCCCCATGCCAGAGCTAAGGAGCTAGAGTCTGAATTTTACAATCTCTGGATAATTTAATGCACATTAACATTTGAGGCCGGCTGGGGAGATGGCTCAATAGAATAAGTGCTTGCCTTGCAAGTGCAAGGACCTGAGTTCTAACCCCTGGTTCTGCACCCGGACCAGTGTGCTAACTCAATCTTTGGGGCCGGGGAGATGGCTCAGTAGGATAAGCGCTTGACTGGCAAACACAAGGATCTGAGTTCAATCCCCGGTTCCGCAAAAAAAAAAAAAAAAAAAAGTTTGAGAAGCTGTGATATCCAAATCTCCTCTATAGATAATAAAATAATAAGCAGGAATTGAACAACTTTGTCTCTCAGCCAGAAGTATTGAGCAAGGCTTTAAGTCTGGACCAATCCAATTTTATATCTATTACTTTGTCAGAATATATAAATAAGAATATAAAAGAAATATTAGTGCTTGTTCATATGAACCATTATTTCCATTTATCCATTAGAACTTTTAGGGTGTGATATAATTTCTAATAGACTTGACAGTTAAGATGTGAAAATTACAAGTCATATCTTTTTTCTCTTTCTTTTTAGCTTCCAAGTATATCATTCGAATAAGTACAAGTATTCTTGATCTCAGAGACAAGTTCAATGACTCAGTTCAAGTGAGCACGACGGATCTCATCCCAAAGGAGGCCAACTCCGAGGAAATCTTCATGCTCCAACCAGAAAACATCACTTTTGAAAATGGCACAGATCTTTTCATTGCTATTAAGGCTGTTGACAAGGCCAACCTGGAATCAGAACTATCCAACATTGCTCGAGTGTCTTTGTTTATTCCTCCGACTCCAGAGACACCTAGTCCTGATGTCATTCCTGTTCCTTGTCCTGGTATTAGTCTCAACAGCACCATTCCTGGCCTTCGCATTTTAAAATTTATATGGAATTGGATAGGGGAGTTTCAACTGACACTGGCCTAACACTGAGTTTATTACAAAAGTAAAATAAATCATCCACGCTATTGATTATAGCATTTTCTAGACTCTATTTTATGCTTCCTTCAGGGGGCGATATAACAAAATGCTAAATAAGTAGAAACAAGTGTAGATGTATTTTTTCCTTTGGAATCCAAATATTTAATTATAGTTCAGTCTTTCAATAATGATTTAAAAATGATTTTGGATTCTAGATAAAACAATTGCTTGTGTCAATACAAGAAAGTACCTTTTAATTCATTTTTAAGAAGTTTTGCCTGCTAAAAAAGATATGCAATTGTTGTTAACCCAATAAATAGCTAAGGAATTTTGTTTTCATTTAAAGGTGCCAGAAATACACAAGCTAAATTATACAAAGCATGATTTATAATGTTTGGGATTTGGAATATGTTTTCATGTTTCTTGATTTGATCAAGGATAATACATTTATGGAAGGGTTTTACAATGTAGAAAGCAGAAACAACAGAAGGTTCCATACACGTATGTTACATGCATGAAATTATGTTAGTGATGCATAAAGCCAGTGGAAAGAAGTGAGGTGATAAATGTCCCTTTGGACCAAGAGGGAGGAGAAAGTAACTGAAAAATAAACATTTATGTGTACCTTGTACCAAGTGTTCTGTTAATCGTCGTATGTACTTTAGCTTATTGAATGTAATCAAACCATTTAACAAATGCTTGTTGTTGCCAACTGTATTCCCAGCCTATGTGAGGTCCTAAGGATGTAAAAGGAAGAGTTGATCTTTACACTGAAAGCAATGAAGAACTTTTGAGAATTTATTTCTGAAATCAGGAGGCAGATATGTTCAGAGCTGTGATTGAAAAGGAGACCTTTTAGGTCCCCACTGTAAGAAGGTGGAAGAAGCTGGAGGCATAATAGATGACAGGAGAGGAGAAGGAAAAAAAAGGAAGGTTAATACAGGATTGGTGATGGGGCAATGTCCAGGCCCCCAAGTACTGATGTTGTCATGAAAGTGTTTCACCTTCTCTATTCGCATAATGAGTTCAAGATGTAGGTGGCTCTCTGGATGATTGAAAACAAAAGTATCTAGGATATGTTTTCTATGTAGATCCAAAATTTATTTATTTATTTACATTCTTTATGTCAAAACAGGATTTGAGGCACCTTAGAGATACATGCACTAGACAAACCAAGCAAAAAATAAACATGGAATGAAGTAAGTATATAATAAAAACCACAGGCCTGTTGTTGAGTGTGTGAATACCTATAATTCTAGCACTTGAGAGGCCAAGGCAGGAAGAGTGTAAGTTGGCAAACAGCCTGGCAATTTAGAGTTCAAGGCCAGCCTGGACTACATAACAAGAGGTGATCTCAAAAATAATAGCACAATGATAGGAAGGATCAGCACATCCAGCACATAATATAATGTTCTGCTAAAGCAAATGATGCTTCCACTTTCATGATATCCAGGCAGGAGTCTAAAAAAGAGTAAAATGAGATAGAAAAGAAGCAAAATGACCTGTCCATTTCACTGAATATTACTCTCTCTTGTATTTAGTCATGCTGGGAAGAGACACTGCTAGACACACTCTGAAATGACATTGGGGATTTGATTATTTCATGTACCTGAGGATAACATGGCAATATCAGCACCAGCAAAAGAATGAGACTGCAAGAGAGGAAGGGAGCAGAAGAAGAAAGAGCTAGAGAGAGAAAGAAAGGGTGAGCAAGAGAGAATATAAGTAATAATATCTTTTTAGAACTTATAATTGTTTAAAAAAAAAAAAACTACCTGACATATGCCCTCATTGAATTTCACTGGTCTCCATGTAATTCAATTCTATGTAATTTGAAAATCTGGAAGACATCTTTTCAGAGAAACAACTTTTCTAAGCATGTTTGTTTTAATGAGTCATTAAAACAAAGAAAGAAAAGGCAAAACAACAAAATAAAGTTCAAGGGACCTCACAGGTCCTTGAATTTTTTGAAAAATTCTGTATTTCAAGAGGAATTATTCTGTTGAAAAGGAGATAATGAGGCCAGGTTTGTTCCAAGTAGAAAGGCCAAACAATGCAGTTTGTGCACCTGAATCAAATATATTCAACTCAGTTCCTAGAACTCTATTGCCTAAAGGAAAATATAATAAATGACTCTTTCTATTCTAACTGCCACTAGAAATACATCTGTTCCTAAATCACAAAGGGGCTTCCAAATCCAAAGGGTTAGAGGAGGATAAGCTATGGTGAGCCTTAGAGTGGATAGCACAACCCAAGCTCCAGAGGACACAATGAGTTCCCTACACAGGGTCCAGCCAGGCACAAAATGCAGCTGATCCTACGGAGAGGGCCGGAGGTGGGTAGAGCACAAATGTGGACCCAAGCCACAGATCCATTTAGGGCAAGGCCTTGCTATCTGAGGATGAGAGAGCAGAAGAGTACCACTACCGTGATCACCCCACTGGCCAGGCCAAGGGTTGGGGAAGAGGGGAACAGGGTTCCAAGATCTTGGCCAAGAAGAAAACATGGTGGCATTCTTGTTTTATTATTCATTATTTTTATCTGATAATGACAACGGGCAGCATTCCTGGACTTCTACTAAGTGCTGCTCACACTCACACCCAGCTCCTCTTGGAATCTTTGCGGTGCCTGGGGCAAGAATACATACGATCCAGATATTGTGTGCTAAGTCTAAATCATTATAAATTAAGATAACAAGCTTATAATACTGGCAAATATACCTTTATGCTGACCTGGAAAGCCAGACTTTTATTTAAAATTCTTAGAAACTTTCAGGGTCATATGGGAACACAGAAGCTCTGGAAATGAACACAAGGTACCCTATTTTCCACCTGCTCCGCTCCAGCCACAGTCCAAATCCAAGGGTCTTGTGCCCACAAGTGTGGTCCCTTCAGCCCGCATGCCACACCAGCCACTGCCCTTTGCTGTCTTTCTAGCCTGGACATGCAAGTACCTTTGGCCCTGTCTGCACTTAGGGAGAACCAATCATGGTACCAAAGTCAGCTCTGGCCTGTGCAGAACACAGAATGCAGATGAGATACTTCTAGGGGAACTTTGGTTCAAGCAAGTGAAGTATGATTTATAAGGGCGTCACAGTTACACAAAGGGTGAGCACAGCACCTTGGCCCTGCGCATTTGTCACTTCATCAAAGGACAGAATTTGGGGTCCTCAGGCAAAGTGAAACTGCAAGATTGCTTGATCAAATAGTAGGATAATAGTATAGTGAAAACTCATATAGTGTTTTCTAATTTCTTCCACAAGCTTTTCTGCTTATGGTTGTTCTGTTAGCCATTTTTTTTTAATTTTATTGAGAAACAAATAGCAATGATACAGTTTCAAAACCAATTAATGGGACAGTTTCAATAATTAACGCATTGCATATTGTTATCTTCTTAGTGGTTATTCATAGCATGAGATGCAGACATGATATCCTGTCCAAACACTATTAGTACAAATCTTTCTTCTCATTGAATTAAGAGAATATAGCTGTATATCTGAACTATTTTGTATATACAGATACAAAATGGTCCTTCATTTGTATCCCTTTTTTTGTTTAGTGTTGTCAGAGATGGATATTCCATTGTCATTTAGATATTGTAGGTGCATGAATTCAGCAAAATAATCCAATATAGTCCAGTAGTCCATAATAGTAGTGGGTTATCCACCATAGGGCTGGCAATGTCAGAAGTTGTTGACTTGAGCATTTTACAGCTCAGCATATTAATATGGCTTTACTTTTTATACCTTGTCTTTATACTTTTCTGCTGGATGGTTAAGACCAAGATAAAGCAAGACTTATACAGCAAAAAATGTAACTTTTGTATCTGACAAGGTCAGTTGAATCCCCTCAGGATTTCCCTGAAACCCTGTACTGCAGTTTATTCTTTTTGTTAGCCATTTAATATTGTCCTAAGAAAAGAAAATCTATAAAGAATCATACAAATTTCATTGCTCATTTTTATATTGTGCATGACAGTTTTAAATTCAGATAGAAGAGCCCTTTAACTTCTGTGATGAATATGCACACATGTATTTTCTAGATTGTACACACCTGTGTGTTTGGCTTTGGCAAAACAATGAAAGCACGACCCAAACTAACAGCTGCTTTCTTTTCACTTGATCTCATTCTACCAGTTCTCTCCACCTTTGGCTTGCTGATGAGTGGCAAAGGGCAGACCACAAAGGGAACCATGATTTGTCCTATCTTTTTCTTTTCTTCTATGTCTAAGTTTTCAAAGGTAGTTGGCTGATATAAAAGAGGAACAAGATGATTCTCTGCTGTTCATGGTTCTTAGGATGTCACTGTATACTTTCTATATTTGAAGAAAGTCTTTGTTTGAACTGCAAGTGCGGTATCTCTATCTGTCATGGAGCCTGCTTCTCTATCCAGAATATGATGTGCTCGCCTTGCACTGTTCGAGTCTCTAGCTCCCATGCATTGTGGGCTCACCCAAATTCTGGGCAGAAGCACCATCAGAAACCTGTTTACAAAAGGCACAACAGGGAACATCAAAGACACACACATGTATCTTCTCCACTTATGTTCTCCATGGTCCCAAAGCACTTCCCTTATAAAACAAAACTTCAACAATGAAGTCACTAAGAATTTCAAGACAACCACAGCAGAGCATTAAAACAAACACAGGGCATATTTGTCCACAAAGCCAGACCTGGAGGAGGCAGAGCCTGTGAAGGGCCAGAGCAGGGCCCTTTAAAGGGAGGAAATGTTCTATTCAAAAGCTGTCAAGTTGGGCAACTAAGCTTAGATCTGAATAAACTGCCTGTAATCTCATCTGCTGATGGAAGCTATATTATCTTCCTGGCAACAGAAGCCCCGTCCTATAACCTGGCCCAACACTGTACGCAGCTCCGATTCTCTGTTGATCTATTCCTCATAGCCCAGGAAATAGTTTTGGGTTACTTCATTGACAGCTGGCTCCAGAAACATAGCTGCAATGACACTACTGTCATTCTCAAGACTTAGGCTGATGAAGCCAGCAACCAAACTAGCAATCAAACTAGTAACAATGAGTAACACTTAGAATAAAAATATATATTACTAGCAATAAGAATAACTAGTATTTACTGCACATCTACTTTGTGCTAGGTGATCTTTTAAGAGCTTCTATGGGAATATTTTACTTTTCTTCACAGAAACTCTGAAGTCAGTACTTTTTTAATGCACATGTAACAAATCAGTAAGCTGTGGCAAAGAGCAATTCAATGAATTGAAATAGGCCTTAAAACTAGTGAGTGACAAAGCCAACTTGTTCAGCCTAGGCAGTTCTGCCACTTTGAACTATCTCTATATGAATGATTTCTTTCTTTCGTTTTTTCTTTTTCTTTTTTTGATGGAACCAGGGATTGAACTCAGGCCCTTGTGCTTGCCAGGCAAGCGCTTATTCTACTGAGCCATCTCCCCAGCCCTTATGATAGTATCCAGGAAAAAAATTAAGCAACAGAAAGGATTCTGAGCAGCTATTACTAGAATACTACAACCAAGAACTTTAGTAACATTTTAGCTTGACTGATGTAAATAACTAAACTCATATTAGCCATTTTTCTTATATCTTACTTTTCACAATGGAATTTTAAAGACTCCCATTATGGATCTAATTCTTTATCATGTA